GTGCAACAGGGGTGGTGGCTGCAACAGGGTCGGTGGCTGCAACAGGGTCGGTGGCTGCAACAGGGTCGGTGGCAGCAATAGGGGTGGTGGCTACAACATGGGCAGTGGCTACCACAGGGCTGGTGGCTACAACAGGGGGTGGTGGCTACAACATGTGCGGTTGCTACAACAGGGGCGGTGGCTACAACAGGGGTGAGGGGTGGTGGCTACAACAGGGGTGAGGGGTGGTGGCTACAACAGGGGTGGTGGCTACAACAGGGGTGGTGGCTACAACAGGGGCGGTGGCTACAACAGGGGGTGGTGGCTACAACAGGGGTGGTGGCTACAAAAGGGGTGAGGGGTGGTGGCTACAACAGGGGTGGTGGCTGCAACAGGGGCGGTTGCTACAACAGGGGTGGTGGCTACAACAGGGGTGGTGGCTACAACAGGGGTGAGGGGTGGTGGCTACAACAGGGGTGGTGGCTACAACATATGTGGTTGCTACAACAGGGGGTGGTGGCTACAACAGGGGTGAGGGGTGGTGGCTACAACATGTGCGGTTGCTACAACAGGGGCGGTGGCTACAACAGGGGTGAGGGGTGGTGGCTACAAAAGGGGTGAGGGGTGGTGGCTACAACAGGGGGTGGTGGCTACAACAGGGGTGAGGGGTGGTGGCTACAACAGGGGGTGGTGGCTACAACAGGGGTGAGGGGTGGTGGCTACAACAGGGGGTGGTGGCTACAACAGGGGTGAGGGGTGGTGGCTACAACAGGGGTGAGGGGTGGTGGATACAACAAAAGCGGTGGCTACAACAAAGGCAGTGGCTACAACAACATTATCAAATTAATTTGAATCCAAGATGGAATACAGATGCTAATTTCAGTTTACCCTAATGCAGTATGCAGAAGTGGCATACAATATACAGCTGGGACAATTAATTGGTTGTCATCTTACACACAGGTTGCTAATATTATGTAAATAGATGTTTGTTTACTTACTTCTGTCCTGTTTGTAATGCTGTATCTATACTCCTGGCTGTAACATTGTCCATTTCAGAACTAGTGTAGATAATAACATTGATTTGGCATACATTAATAAATATGTTAATTATCACATGTATAATATTCAAATCATCATAATATATGTAATATATAACAGTTTATACAGGATTTTTTTGCACAGATGGAACTACCGATAGTTTCACTGCACAAGTATGTGTACTCCATGAAGCACTGACCAATATAAATAATGCATGAAATGTAAGGAATAAGAAACAATGAATGGTATAGAAGATGAGCTTTACTTTGTGTTAGTTTGTAATCTTTAGAGTTAACACATGTGTAGAATTTTCCATCTAAAGATAAGTTTTGTTAACTTTATACACACATAGTCTCCCAGGTATTCAAAGCATTCAAGTTAAAGAAAGCAATAAGTATATACTGTAAAGTACTATATTTTCACTTAGAGCGTATTTTCGCTATTTTCTGTGAAGGGATTAAACAGTGAAAATAAAATCCAGTGAAAATACCCATTTTCCTACATCTTACATTTAACTGCTCAGTCAATATGCATTTGTTTTGTAATGTCATGAGGGCCTGTGGCATTAAAGACAATAATTAAAGACTGATAACAAAAAATCAAAGATTAGCTCATCATGTAAAAATAAAAATGCATGTATTAAATAATTCTATAATATTTGTTAACACGTAACATTACACACTTTTAATCTTATATCATATCACATAAAAAATACCTTAATCTCCTCCTCTTCGGCTTCTGTGCATAGTCTCTAGCTTCTCTTTCTTCTTTCGTCATTGATTTGAAATTAGCTTCAACACCAAATATAGGTCTAGACCATTCATCTGTAATAACAGTCACACAAGAATGTACAGTATATAACCATTGAATACCAATAGAGAAAATATGCTGCAGCAACCCATTACAAGTAATATTCATCTCAAGTTTTATTGAAATCTGCCTGTTCATTGAAGATGCTGATAATGAATCCCATCCAGGAAAAAATATCATGGTACCATTACATACATGTATGACTTAGATCTTGGTCTGAAATGGCAGAAAAGCTTGATTTTGATACATTTTTAACATTAAAATGGCCGCCATTTGACCATCTTTAATCTGATGGTCAAACAAATACACTTGCATATGTGCGACTAATTAATGAAGAAACAAAGATTAAAAACAAAATGGCCTTCACACAACCATTTTAAGTTCGACCTGAAAAAACAAAATGATTTGCACCCAGGTCCAATAATGTCTAACGCATGTACCAAGATCTGCTTCTGGAAAGGAAAAGGGATGATGAGATTTGAAATAAAAAGATATAAATCTGGATTAAAACTCATTCACTCTTCTTCCTTCCATGATATAGGACAGTTGGGTGTTTAAATGCATAGCTTACAGTATACTTACTGATAAGTCTCCCTGCTAAATCTCTGTTAATTCTTATTTCCTTGGGGTGTTTATATAAGTACATTACTGCTTTTCCAATACCACTAGTTTTTAACATGTGAGAATTCACTGATGGCAGCTAGCAAGAAACATAGAACACGTTTATATTATTGAGATTTATGTAATGTACATAGATGATTACTGTATTTTAATTTTATATAGCCTGGTAAACAAAACACCTGTCAGACATTTACCACAGAGCTACTGGCTGCAACAGGTTTTCAAAGGTATTTAAAATTCTTGCAGCTCAATTGATTTAGTTTTTAAAATCACATGCTATACAATAGTACACAATCACAGTCTTTTTTAACGTACTTTGGAATAACTTAGTAAAAACATCATAATCAGTGCTTACCTCTTGTAATATTTCCAGAATGCCTTCTCTAATTTTAAGATGCGGTAAACTTTTATCTGGTAGCGGTAATAGCCATTCTTTTAATGATGTTAAAATACCACAGTCAATAAATGCCATATGTAAATCATGTCTGTAAACAAATCAGCATATATCATGTAAACAAATCAGCATATATCATGTAAACAAATCAGCATATATCACGTAAACAAATAAGCATATATCATGTAAATAAATCAGCATATATCATGTAAACAAATCAGCATACTGTAAAATGACTAATTTTCACTGGGTTTAAATTTCACTGATTTACCATTTCAGGCATATTCAGTGGGTTTTAAATTCACGGTTTCGTCATTTAGATAATGTGTTCTATGCTAAATTTTACATATTCACTGTGTTTTAATTTAGCGCATTTTTCCAGTCAGCGAAATAAGCTAAATTAAAACCCAGTGAATAATTACCCCCTTTACAGTATATCATGTAAACAAATCAGCATATATCATGTAAACAAATTAGCATATATCATGTACACAAATTAGCAAATATCATGTGAACAAATGTGATTTGAGTTTAGCAGTTTTACTGCTGAGAAAAAATCACTTACTTTTTTAATTGTGACATCACTACTGGTAGCATTTTAAGTTTATTGATAGCTGCTTTGCCTGTTTTATTGAGTTGTTGGTCATCCTAAAAAGACAAATTAAAGTCCTCCTATTAAGCCTATATCTTTAACCTATTTGTAAAGTCAGT